CTTCAACGTCATAACAACCGGAGCGATTGGTCAGTGCTTTTATGCTGTTGGTCTATTGTCACGATATCCTTGTGGTAAGTCGATTCTGCCTGGATAGACCGTCTTGACTTTCCACGCAACCTCGCCCAGCGACCCGTGACTTTACAAGCGGCCTCGCGGTGAATTATAATTAGAGAATACAAGCCACTTTCAACCCAATGACCCTACTGCGTACGGCAGGCTCTCAGCGATATCCATGCATTCACATCGATCTGCTCTTCGATGCTTAGACATTAAGTGGTCAAGGCGCTTGCTGCTGACCAAATAGCGGGGCAGTGTGTTTAACATAGGCTGGCGATTTGTTTTCCTCAAAAGAAAATTCGTTCAAGATCCATGCATAATGGTGGGCTTCAATCGTCTAATCAGTACCCGCTAACCTTCTTCCCACCGTTGCCGCGCCACTCAATGATGATGCGGACGGGCTTGCGAAACGCCGAGGGGATGCCTGGGACCGCGGGTGCAGAAAGTTCTTGGTGATGACTTGGACGTATTTCGAATGAAAGCTAGGCAGTGGGGACGGGTCCAGCTGCGGCTGCACAGGGATACGCGCGTCGCCGAGAAGGGCAAAATGAGGCGATCGCACTCGTCCCTTGACTCCCAAAATGCGTGCCCCTTTGGGATGCTCATCCGTTTGTGCCAGCCTCCCAGTTCATCTCGGTCTGTTGGCGCCAGCCAATGAGTGACGCGTTCACAGAAAAAGAAACCTCTATGAAGTTTCTGCACTGGGAGACGGACGGTCGCGTAGTAGCAGGCGGAAGTGCAGGGCTTGCGTTCGGCAGGATTCGGCTACATTGAATAACAGCGGCCCATTCCAGGATAGCACGCCGCACCGCTAGCCTAAACCGCGAACCAAATAGCCAAACGCCAACATTGTCAATCTGGTCGAACAAGGCTCGCAAAAGAGCTGAGGCGTGTTGGAACGTGTGTGGGCGAAATGGAAACTCGGTGAAGGTCGGACGATCTGCAGCGAACGACACCTTGAACGACGCCGCCGAGTCCTTGACACTTTCATGCGGCTGCGATGGCCTTCGTACTATGCCAAGCTCCCAAAGAAGAACCCTGCAAATTGCCGCGGGCTCTGGCTCGCTGGTCCGGCGGATGATACATCCCTCGGCAGGCACTGCGAAATAGCCCTTGGCCTTTTGCCCGTCGTCTCGTCCGAACTCAGAGTCGCCCCAATCTGCTACCCACCACCTTGTTTCCTGCTCATGGCACCGGGCTGTGATCCCTGCTATGTACCTTTTGGTAGCTACGAGCGCCTGTCTTTCATACGTACACCCCTCTCCATCTTATTGCTGGACCCCTGCGTTTTTGGTTGGAAGGAGCCGATCCCTGTGTCATGCTGAAAGCTGAGTGGATCGCAAACAACGTGCCACATTGCCTTCGTTGCAGCGTTGCCAAGTTCTGCAGGGGTGCGCGTGTCGCAAATGGCACATCTTGTTTGGACGTAAGGCGAGCAGCTGCAGCCAATGTCACCAGGGTTCGTCGACTCCGGCTGAAGCACTCTTTCTTCATGTACAGACAACGAGTGTACCACTACTTTCCGAAGGGTGAGTCGGCACCTCATTGCGCTATGCACTGGCACTGTAACCCATGTCTCCGCCATGCTCCATGTGGGTGAGATGACCGTGTAAGCGGCCCACGCCGACGTGTAAGCCAGCTCCTCAATCGCGCCAGGCTGGGCCTAGAAGCATCCAGTCGACGAATGCAACACGGGAAATGTAACCCAAGGCCTTGTTTTGGCAGCGGGGGGGAGACGTTGGAGACCGACGCCAGCCGTCCGCTCTCACGGTTGGATTATCTTGGGGTAAGCGACGTCCCGACACCTCAGTAGGTATGACACTAACCACGCGGAATGATCTGTGCTTGACCACAGGCTGAACCACCGCGCGCCCAGGCCACGTCGACGCTTGGGTATGGGAGCTCGCGTTGGAGCTCCAGTTACGGATTCACGAAGCCCATGTCCTTCCTCATGCGGCTGCATCCCTCTGTGAGTGATGATGGCGTGATGCAAGGACAGAAGGCAGGATGCAAAGTGCCTGGTACGGCTTCTCACTTTAGCATCTCACCAGTCGCGACTCGCGCGAGGTGCATGGTTTCGTGTTCATTCAGGGGACAGATGGAGCCCACGGCCCTGATCAGCTTGTCGGATGCTAGCGTGCGCTTTTGTGGTACACGCAATTGGCTCCAAAGCGGATGCCAAGGCTAACGATGATTGGCCCATGTCACCGGTCTGCCAAGAATGAGGCTCTGCAAGACGTGCCTCCTCAAGGGGAAGCAGCAATTGCTCCGCCTGTTTAGACGGGCATGCTTCCAACGGTGATTACTGTACTCTGTGTGTTCCTGGATGGACTCGACCCCGTTTACACAATCTATTGTCTTACTCCATAGCAAAGAGACTTGCCCTTCAGCCTCACCAAGATGCAACGTCTTCCCATCGAGATCATGACCTACGTCGCGGATTCTCTGGACTTACACGACATCTTCAACCTTAGCCTGGTTTGTTTACAATTCAGATACCTAATGAGCAACGATAACATTTGTCGAGCCGCGCTTGAGGTCAGACCACTTTGATCCAATAACAATGTCTCGTGCCATGCTGACTGAGTGTAATAGACCAATGCCCCATACTCGCCTGACGTCCAAAACGCCCGCTTCTCCAAGCAATATGCCCGCTGCTTACGACGACTAGTCAAGACCCGAGACGCCATTGCCACCGCCGCGCCATATGCTACTGCAATTGTTGCTCAGGCAGATGAGTTTATATACTGCGACGGAATGCTTTGCTATACCCAGGGTCACGAGTCGCTCCGCCTCCTTGATCTCCATGGGTCTGCAGACTCGGAGATAGTCATCGATACACGAAAGCTACTGGTGTCCAACCTAGAGTCATACCCCGAACTCCAGCCATATACGATCAGTAATAGATACAGATTTCGGCCACTACACTTCGCTTGTGGGATTTTGAGCTGCCTCTATCATTCGCCAAGTCCGAGGGACGAGGTTGCCTTGTCGTGTTAGACTTATGGCAAAAGAGACTCCTGGCAGCCCACCATCTCGAATCAACGTCCAAGTTGTTCGTGCGTAACAACAGAGAATATCTTTGGTATGGAACCTACTCTCTGATTTTACCCGACGACTTCAAAGGATGGGCTCTGAAGCGATTCGACATCTGCAAGGAACAATGGGCTCCAGACGAACTGGAACTCGAAGACCTAGTCGGATCAGACATTGGCTCCACTGTTTGCTTCGAAATTATTGACGGTCACTTCTATGGAATCTCGAGTGAGGACCGCCGGGAAGTAGACATGGAGAGACAGAACTTTTACTATTACGGTTGTTGTTTTCCGCTTAACAGTTTACGGCCTGAAGACATGCAGGTAACATCTGAAGGTGCCATGTGGCGAAGACATATCGAAGAGGGACAAGTCCACGACGGATGGAGTGCTTTGCAACTTGAAAAAGACCGGTTACTGGAGATATCATGGTTTTGGAATCCCGAAGAGAATGGTTGGTCGGTGAGTCTTCAAGTACTAGAACATCGTATCGAACAGCGCTCAGGTTTTCTGAGATTCATAACCATTCGAACAACAATTCCGACTCCGACTCCGACTCCGAAAGCGACACCGAGGACAGCGAGGGCTCACCTGTCCATTCGTGGCCGACTAGCACGATAGCCCATGCTAAGCCGCAACGCGAGTCATCGCAGTTTCACAGGGGTGATGATGGCTCAACAACCCCAGCAATCACTCTTAGCCAATGCTTTATGCGCTCTTACAATTATTCCTGTGAAACGTTTATCGATTTGGTCAACGATCCTGATGCTTCTGATTCGATGACGCAAAGGCTGCAGCTACGTTCAATATCCCGCTTTGGTCATGTCAGAAACAACCCCGATCTGCAAGAGCCCTCTCCTGGCGGCTCTGAGCAAGGGACTCTCAAGTCCCGCAAGCCTTGCACGCTAAATAAGATATCTTGGTGGCCACCAAAAGTTGACGTACCCCAGAACAACTCGCGTCTAGCAGAGCTAGACAGCTTGCTCAACCCAAGAGGCCACAGCATTGATAACCCTATCTCGGGGGCCATGGACGAATGCTCTATCGTTTACGCCGTCGGGCCACGGACATCCCATAGCAAACGGCCGCTGGTGTTCATCTTATTCGATCCTGCTACCAGGCTTCCAAACCTCAATCACTGGCCTGGTGGTCCAATGACGGTACCGCAAACCCGACCGAAGACACAGGAGGACACGATGGACCGCTGTCCTTCGGGGCCTACTTCAAGGAACTCCTCTCTGAGTGATGGGTCTCCTGCTGGTCCAAGGCAATCATCGACCGATCTGCGGACAGACACATGCAGGCCTGACGCCCCAGCTTGGCTGGGGAAAGCCCCAGCCGCGTATTTGCACAGCGCTTGCACGCCTGGGAACCCTTCCGGTTTCAACTTTGCATACTGAGGGCGTTATTAGACCTCGTGCTGGAGCTAAAACTGAGAGCCTGCCGACGGCTGCATAATTCCATGTCTATCAAAGCTTCTAGACGTGTCATTTGCCTTCGGGACGGGGTCTGACTCAACTCCGACTTTCTTAGATAAGGCCAGTACTACGATAAACATTACTAGCGACTTTTTGGAATATTCCTTCTTGTTGTTGTTTCGAATAGCCTGCTCGACTGGTCAGCAAGTGACCATATTAGTGTGGACCTCAATTAGCAACGAAGACTCTTACTTGCTTTCAACCGCCGACTTTCAAAGTGTAGCATGAATGAAGGGCCTTGTTTGCAGGATGAGCTGGCTGGTGCTGAGATACATGCACAACTGATTACGAATGAACAGAGTGTGATTTCTTGGTGAAAGTTTGTATAATTGACTACAATGTTCGACTGTTCGAATATATCACTTTTCATGTCCATGACCTTGCTTTTGCCAACTCCCGTTCAACTTGTTTATTCGTCTTTGGCCATTCATCTTGGGGTCGGGTCTTCGTTTAACATGCAGGCATTTTCCAGCATGTTCGTCCATTTGCCACTTGTCCCGGCGTGGCTGTGCTTGAGATGCTGCCGGAAATGGTCTGCACGGAAGAACTTCTTGCTGCTGTTGCACTCCCGGAACTTGTGCACCTCCTGAAGATGGCGGATGCGCTCCTCCCAATCCTGATCGGTGGCGTGACGAGTGGTTGAGGCACCAGAGCCGCGGCCGTTCCGAGTGAACTCCTCGCCGCAATAGCCACAAGTGTCTGCCTCGCCAGGCCGGTTGGTGCTGTCGTGAAAGGCTCGGTCATGATGGCTAAGCGCCGAGCAGCTCCAGCTGTGTCTGCGGACGTGGAGACTGTTCTGGTGGCGCTCCGCCTCGTTCTTGTTCTTGAACCGATTTCCGCAAAAAGAACATTCGTATTGCTTTTCTTGTTCGTGAAACCTATTATGTGTTAGTCAACTAACGGGCATGATGAGCATGATTCAATCTTGACTTACCCTAACTCCTCTGCGGTTTCAAACTTTTTGGGCTTCTTGGAGCAGCACTCACACATGAAGAAACCAGAGATCTTGGTGCCGCCTGACTTGCTCACCTCAGTGAGCTTGCGGGGAGAAGCAAGAGGCCGGCTTTCGCTTTTTTTCCGCTGATGAGGTGCGCGAGAGAGAGAGCCACGCGGCGAAGGATTCAGCGACATTGTTGCGCTGCACGGAGAGCTACAACTGGGATCCATGCCGCTGGGTGAGATGTCTCCCGGCGACAAGCCGCCAGGGGAGACTCGGCCGTAAGAAGAGCTCATGCTGGCGATGTTGCCAGTGAGCAGGGACAAGTTGGAACTGTACGATCCTGTACGCCCTCCCGACGAGATGGAGGAAACAGAGCCCTGAGGAATCACGCTCAGCCGAGGTTTCGGCGAACCCCTCTGGTTGCCATCACGGCGGCGCAATAAGTCACCTTGAGTCGTGAAGCCGAGGGGGACACTGTCATCAGGATCGGCCGAGGCGCATCGTTTCGTCCCAGCGCCGTCATAATGAGGTCGCATAGGATCCTCGATGCGCAACCTCTTCATCGAATTTGTCTCCTCAATTTCCATGTCCTCCACCTCATACCCGTGCGAAGATGTATCGTCGCTGTTATTCCTCCTCGATCGCATGGGCGGTGACCGCTCGAGGTCAGAAACTGAACGCGGTGACCGATAATCATGGCCGAGATGAAGACTCCCCGGAGACGGGGGTAATGTGGAGTGTGGCGTCTGGGTGTACCGGTCCGGCGAGTCTAGAAGATTTGACGTCTTCAGGTAGAAGGGGAGATTCGTGGGTACGGAGAGCGGAGGTACACGTTGGTCGCCGGACAGTCTCCTTGAGCTGGGGTCGGTGGCGGATGCGCTCGAGGCACTAAGAAGGGATACAGAAGGTTTGTTGTCGAATGTCTTCGATGAGTCCAACTTCTTCTTCATATCGGTGAAGGCATCGGCGCTGGACTGGAATTGGAACTTGTTGTGGTGTAAACCAAACCCAGCAGAGATACTCGGCAAAGAGCACTCAGACCTAGAAGGAAACGCAGTTAGATTCGTAGAACCTCACAATGGACCATTCTCGTTATCACGGGGAGGCCTCCACAGGACACCTGCCTTTTCGAGGCCGAAGCCGAGTCCATGCTTGCATATCCTTCGTCTTTCTCGTGCCTGTAACCAGCTCTCTTGAAGTTGAGCCTGTCGTCCAAGCTTCCAATGCTATCATGATAACTGTGTTCCCTCGGACTGTAGGATGAAGGGTCGCGATGGTACTGTCCACTCTCATGGGGATGCATGTGGGCTAGTTCCAAAGGAAATCGAGGAGGAGGTAAAGGCGGGGGAGCCGCGTTGTTGATTCTGTCCGATCCGGGAATGGAGACGGCGACGGACGAGGAGTACATGCTAAAACGATCCGTCCGGTCCGAGGTCCTGGGGTTCGAAGGATCTATAAGGATGCTCGGAAGACCGGCGGGCTCCCTGTATCGTGAGGGTGCCTCCATTTTGTCGGCGGATATCTGTCCAAAGCCAGCTGATGTTTACGAGTTGCAGCTGAACCGGAGCGCTACCAAAGGGTTACAGCGACAGGAGCACGGGCGTCATGAGTGATGGTTCGGCCAATTCCTTTCTCTTTCAGATCGTTATGGAATACGAAGTGCGTCCAAGGCCAGGAAGGAAGGTTGTCTTGTATGAGGCCGCGAGTGGCGATGAGAACCGGGTTCGCCGTTGGTGGTGACGGGAGACAATGGGGTCAAGAATGTTTGTCTCTTTGGGGTGTCTTTCCTTCGCTCCTCGCACGTAGAAGACAGAAGATACAGCCGGCGCGAATTTCAACTTGCAGGGGTGCAGCAATGCTTGAGGGGGTGGGCTAGTAACTCAGCCCAGTGAGAGCCAGATTCGGCGTAAGTGCGAATCCGGGCTCGCGCAGTGTCTTTCCCGGGCGATGGGTAGCAATCCGGCGGTGACGCACTCCGCGCCGCATCCCTGGCTGCGGATGCAAAGCTGCGTTCCTGGTGCTGGACTTCCAGGAATAAAGCATTGGCTCAATTGTCCACACCAACCAGAACAGGCCGGAAGTTGGGCCCCTGGGCGCGTCGAAGGGTTTGCGTAGCAGAACTGCTAGGTTCACCCCTCCATGAGCACCAACACCCTCGTCATTTGCCCTGGTCCCAGCTGCAAGCGCCAAGAATTGCACCAATCATTCTGCAGGAGAGCGCCTGCTTTTTTCTGCCAGTACACGTCCCTCAGTTTTTACTCCTGCTGGGCTCCTGAGAACCGCTGGCAACTTGCCGAGAGTTGTCGTCAAGGCCAAGTGGCCGTCGAACAAGGTACTTCTCATTGTCGCCTGGTCTCGTACGCCGTCTATTGTCTGCTCGTTCCCAGGATGCGACTTGCTGCTTTGTCCTTCATTCTCGGATTTCAGGAAAGTGTCACAGAGCGACCAGAAGCTGGTGCACATAATTATGCCATAACTGACCGCCTTCCACGGGTCGCTCCGCTCGACCGGTCATCCTCCGTGAAGCCTGTCCTCATTAGCCAATCTTGAGACACCACCGAGGTTGTGAAGAAGGCCGAAAAACTGGCGAGAAACAAAGAAACGAGCACTTGCAATCAGATTTCGCCGTTTGGGCCCTTTGCCTACCTTGGCTTGCTGCTCTTGACGTACCCGAGAGGTGGTCTGGCGCGAATAACCGTAGGGCCTGACAATGAAACATCATAGTGCACATTCGGTTATATATTGCTACTAACCAGAGATTTGTCTCTCGATTTTTAGAGATTTCAATTAAGTGATGCGAATCCCACCGGGACCTACTTCTCGACGCTCGCCAGTTCGGGTCCCAACTTAACCGAACAACGCGCTGGAAATGCTTCCTCGGTACTAATGGGCCAACGCTCCCCCCAAAGTAGCCGGTGCCTACGCAGACATGCCGAACGTTGCGGCAGCAACATACAACGCTTAGGTAGCACTGCAAACTCGGGTAACCTAGCCCGTGTGACGCTACAAGAGGCCGTTTCGGTGTCAAATGGATGGCCCGCGGAGCAGACGCTGAGAAGATGCTTGTGACCAATCATACGGCGTTGTGCCCCACTCACTGGTCAGCGTCCTCGTGGCCAATCAAAACATATACTTGCGACGTCAGTTCACTACTCATCAATTGCATATCCAACTAATTATTACCTGTGTTCCACTGAGAGGGTGGCCCAACGGAGTTTTGACTCGAAAAAGCCTGTTGTAAAACTGACACCATAAGACCTTCATCTTGAGTGCTTTCTCACGATCAATGCCTTAGACACTGAGCGAACAGCAATGACAGACGTGACATGGTCATGGGTAAATTTACAAACGGAAGACAACCAGGACGTTGCACGCCGAAGCTGGTGCCGAGAGAGCTGTCGGGTACCACTCGGTACTTTTTTCCTCTTTCATTACCGCGAGATGTCCTTCCTTGCACTACTCCATTTCTGTCACAGGCTCATTTACCGCTTGGAATTGTAACCAACTCCCAAGCCGGCCCGCTAGATCCTGCGACGGATGTAGGTCAAAAGTTTGTAGGCTGCAGTGTGCAAGGTCGCTGCCAGGCAAGCGCGTAAGTCCTATTTCTCGGCTGCCAGGAATTACTGGGTTTCGGGCTTTTTGTTTACATATCCATGTTCTAGAACAGCTAACGAAGAATTTTTTCCATCCAAGACTCGGCAACTTCTTGTTGAGTTTCGTGATTTGTGTCTTCCTTGTCCGTGCCAAGAATGAATATCACGGTCGTGGACTCGCAAAGGTGGGCGAAGTAAGAATCCAGTTGCAGTGGTGTTGTCGCCGAAGTTCGAATCTGCTGAGTGCTGCGCTTCGATGGTACGGAAGCGAAATCGGTGGCTGAAGACCTTCTTTTAAGATTGTCTATCGCCACTGGCTGATTGACACCCTGGTTTATGAGAGTCCCGCCCCAAGACATCAGTATTACAGATTGTGCCTTCGTACCCGGCAAAACCTGTGGTGAACGGCAGCCCTGCCTGCACCGCCGACCCATGATGTCTGGGATGATAGATGCAATCAACGTGGCGGTTCTATAAGCCAAGAGACGAAGAGTCGGGAGACATGTTGAGAGTCACAAAGCCTTAATCTCTAGGTTGTTGAAGGATGATATTCTCATTGCGTTGGTGCACAGTACCGGACACGATGGAAGACCCAGTGTCTGGCTAAAATTCGTAGCCTGGATGGACGGAAACTCGTCACATAGCAAGAGGTTACTCAGTGGGCAACCACAGCATTGTGTTGAAAAGAATATGGGCTGTAAAGAAATGGCATATAATGACTACCTGTTTGATGTATGAAGCTTCCCATCAACTTTTATGGCTTCATAGTTGAGTGCCACCCACCAGCTTCACAAGGCAGTGGCGACAGCTCTCGAAGATGCAGCAACACTCGCCAAGAAAGAAATCAGCACCTCATATCTCTGCCACTATGCGCTCCCCAGAATCAGCGCAGCCACACAACCATCCCGTGTGACACCGCTTTACTTGTCGTAGCATCGGACACCGCCTCATGTGTAGGTCTCAGACCCAATTTTGCTTCGCCATTTGACTACGAAGCTTTCCCAAGCCATGACTTAAAACAATTGTTTCCCTCAACAGACTTTGCAGGCTCGCTTCCCTATTGAGAAGATGATACTTCGATCCCAAAGGACTCCCACCATGATGATGAATACAACTTCGTTCTAGGCTTTTTTAAAAGGATAAAAGCATGTTCAGGACATCGCTGGGGCTGACGTAGAAAGCCAAGGCGATAACAAAATAGAGGCCGAGCAACATAGCCCCCTCGAGGTAGTTGGATTTGCCGTCCTGCACAGTGTACGTAACCACCAGCACGGAGACCGCGAAGACAACCGTCTCAAACGTCTCAAAGTGCAGAGTCATGGGCTTGTCGAAGACAGCCCATCCAAGGATGACAAGTAACGGAGTAACGAGGAGGGCAATCTGAATGCTGGAGCCGATGGCAACACCCATAGCGAGGTCCATCTTGTTTCGGATGGCCACGACGACGGCCGTGACGTGTTCTGCCGCGTTGCCAACGATGGGAATGAGAATCAGACCGATGAAGTTCTTGCTGATGTGAGCCGTCTCGACAATGGGGTCGATGCTCTCGACAAGGTAGTCGGCGCAAATGGCAATCAGGACAGTGGTGACAACAAGCACAACGGCGGCAGCGATAGGGCCCATAATGGGCTCTTCGGCCTCCTCTTCATTGTGGTGCTGTATCTCGGCGTCGAAAAGATTGGGGTGGGTGCGCAGCTGGAACCATAGGTAAAGAATGTAGAGTAACAGCAGGACGATGGCAGTACCGCGGGAGAGGATCAGAATGCTGCGCTCATTCTCAACGCTTTCGACCTTTTCGAGGAACACAGAGTAAAGCTGACAGGCGTCGTTAGTCAATGAGCAGGAGTGAGTGAGTGCGCTGGGATGCTTACCGTGGCGGGGATGACGAGCGAGGCAGAAGAAAGCGTCATCAGCGAGCAGGTGGTTTGCGCTGTAGCAGAGGCGAAGCTCTGTTCCATGCCCTGGCCAGTAATCCTGTCGCGCATGTTGAAAATACCACCGAAGAAGAAGCACATGCCCATGACAAGAAGCAGGTTGGAGAGGATAGAGCCGAGCATGGACGACTGGACAACCTCAATCTGGCCCTCTTTCAGGGCAACAATACTAACAATCAGTTCGACAGCATTTCCGAAGGTGGCATTGAGCAATCCTCCGAGAGCTTCGCCCGACTTCATTGAGATTTGTTCGGTCGCAAACGACAAAACAGCAGCAAGTGGAATGATGGCGAAGAAGTTGATGGTGAAGACGGCAGTCGGGCCCCAGTGAAGCTTTCCAGCAACAATGCCAAGGGGCACCATAACAAGAAGAAAGTTGACATGGTCTGTCACGAGAGCGGGTTGTTAGCAATTGCGGCGCAATGTCGCCTGTTTCACCAAAGCGCGGATGGATGCGGTGACTTACTGCTGAAGAGCGACACCTTGGTGACGTGCCACGCCTGCGAGGAATACCTAACGGCGATGTTGGGGCTATCGGTGCCCGGGGTACCTGTCGAGTTGAACAGGAACTTGAGCGTCTTGTTGCCGCCGTCGCCGTTGGCGACGTGGTTCTCCTGGTTCGCCGGGTGGTGGCCGTTTACAAGGAGCGGCGAGCTCTCGTTGGCGTCGCCATCGCGTCCATTGGGCTTGTTGGCGGTGCCCCAAGAGCGAACCTGTCCGCGGAAATGCTGGTTGACTGAATTGTCGGACATCGCACTGTCGTAATTGACTAAAGCCTGACCAGTTCAGCAAAGACGTATCCTGTCGCTGTCGCGCGTCTCGGGTGGGCGTAATGAGGGACAGCAGCCAGCAGGTGTTATCGACCAGTGGAATGGAAAGGTAAGGAATGATGGGATACGACTAGATATAGTGTGCCAAAATCCCGTGCAAGCGGATAGTGGCTGTGATACTTGGGAAGAAAGAGGCGCACGACCTTTGGCGATGGCAGAGAGAGCCAAACACTGGGCGTGCCAAGAAGGTGCAGCTTCAAGGCCTGGGGGGGGGGGGGGGGGGGGGTAGCGCTGATGGGACTTTGCCGGGGCTACACTAGGATCATGTCAGGCAGCAGTGGATGGTGGAGAGCAGAGGAGTGATTGACATCCTGACAAGGCTGCCGTCGGAGGGCGGTCGAAGTGGATTGGCTTGAACCTGTGGAAAAGACGTGTCGATGCTGCAGCAGTGCTTGAGTGAGCTCGACTTGACAACGGGGCAAGACGAGTCGAATCACAGCTGGGGTGGAAGTGTCGAGTGGGCATTGCTTGCTCGCTTGCAAGTGGTGTCCATCCGTTTGGAGGAGGGCGTGCGAGCGCAAAGTCGATTGGTGATCTCTGCGGTCCTGTTGGAGCGCACCCTTTCGCGGAGCAAGACGGAACTTGCATGTCCTTTGCTACTAATTCTACGCCCTGGAGTGGGCCTGGTGGCATCGGTGAGGGCTGTCTCGCTGTGCTGGAATCCCTGTACGCGAGATGCAGCCAAATCGAGCTGTCGCAAGTGACATGTCATCGTACCTGTCGAAAAAGAACGTCAAGTTATCCGGGCTCCACTTCTCAATTGAACGAGCAGGCGGGGAGCGAGCCGGTGCATGGACCAGTCCGCAGAAGGGTTCCTGGCCAGTTGCTGCGGTTGGGTTGGCCTGGCTTCTGGGAGGAGTGACCCCGGAACATGAAGCGCTGGGACAGAGTACTTGGTACACGTGGCCAAGCCTGCGCGTAGCGCCGGTTTTCTTGGGAACAAGGGGCCTGCGGGACAATTCGTTCGTCTCAATTCTGGCCAGGAACGTGCAATGACGGATGGGGTTCTGGGAGCTTTCGCGCTAGCGATCCACTGTATCTTCAGCCCTCTTTGGCACCCAGCCTTAGCAGTTTTTCCATCGCACAGTCTCTTGCGAAGCGGGTGCGAGTGGTCGAACTGCCCCAAGTCTTGCGCTCAAGCCGAGCCCAAGGTGGCGTAAAGCCCCATGTCCTGTCCAGCATCGTAGGAAAGTATGAGGGCACACTGTGCACATCTCCACTCAGAGGGTCAAGGTTCTCTGCGCAAAGTCGCTTAGTCTCTACTTTCAATTCTTCCCTAGGAGACTCCCTCTTCTGCAACAGCTCTGGCTCTGGCATTCTTTCTTGGCCAGAAGAACGCAAGAACCGGCACGTTATGGCTTGGAAGCCTCGAATTTCTGTCCCTAATAAATCCACCCTTATTCCTCAACATTTCAGCGTTTGTTTCTCATGAGATAGCCGCGGGCCAGCACCAGCCACACTGGGCAAGGTGGGGTCGCCCACTCAGCCACAACGAGGGGCATCTGCACTTCACCTTGCGCCTGGTCGCAAGATAGGAACGAAAATCGACGTTTCCTAGAGTTGTGTGAGGAGATAAGAAGACACCTGTTTGCCAAGCAGGGAAGGCAAACGTACCGTGCGAACCTGAGCACCCAACTTTAGTGCACAATAGATGCCAATACATGCACACCGAGAGGTGCTCTGTCATGCACCGACCGACACCCTGAGGTGTGGAAGTACTGCGAGGATTGACTGCAGAGCCATCTTGGGGGAAGCCTGACCCTTGCAGGCGAATACCACCACACATCCTGTTGCGTATGTCCATGAGTTCATGGACTTTTTTGGAAACAACCGGCTATTGTTGTTTATTTCCTACTACCACACCCAGAGGCTAGTTTGCTAGGCGCAATGGTGGAATCAGGCTGGCTTGCGTTCATTTGTCTCTTGTAGACTACTCTCCTAATACCATACCCCCACCGAAAGTCCTAACGTCAGTTCCTCTCCTTTTCCTGTCTTCTGCAATATTTCTGCCTTGCTCTCTCTCAGCCGGCATCCAGTGGGGCACTATTTCAGACAATGGGTGGGTTGCGCTATTGGCAAAGTCATAGACCATAGCCTTGACAACCTGTAGCTCTAAGGCAGGTCCGGCCAAGACCTGCCCAGTATATCACAATGCAGCGCTCTAGGAACCCGCTAGCCAGACTGACAGCGGCTATGAGGCTCCGCGAATTCTCCCGCTAGCCTTTCTCGTATTCCTCAGTACCTACCGCTTCCATCTCCCCCCGCCCGTCCATGGCGCTGTAAATCGGCGTTCAATGGAACACCGAATCGCATCGGCAACTTGCATTGCTGCCTGATAGAATGTCCGTATTGGGAGGCAAGTCCGGTCGGACCAACCCAAGTGGCAGGGATTCTCACTCCTTGGAAGAGCACCAAGGCTAGGAGCCTCCTTCGCTTGGATCTTGCTGCGTTCAGGCGTTTGGCCACTCTTGAAGGGCAACCCATACGTGTACAAATAGTCCCAGTTTCGGTCGCTGGACTTTACATCGTGTTTACTATCTTCATCTTGTTCACCACCGCATCAACTGAAATGGCCGAATTCAGCTTTCTTTCTCTTTTGCCCACATACATGCTGGGGATGGAGATGTTACATCATTTGTCGTGGGTTCTGGGAGCCATTTATGTAATCTCTACCTCCGTTCGCAGCATCCCCGGCTACCAAAAATTGGAGAACAAACTCATCACCTCTCTCGAGAAGTACTGGGAAAGAAATACGCAGACGATCAAAATCCACAACGACGACTCGCTGTTTGAGAGCGTAATCGCTTGGGCGGGCTGGAAGCATGAGCTGTTAGGTTCTCAGCACCTGGTCGCTACGGCTGACCGAGGCTCGTATCCTTTGCGAATACGAAGAGCCATTTCTGGAGACTGGTCCCCGGGCGAGGACTTAGTGTTTACCCCAGATGCGGGCTCGGTTTGGTTTCAGTACAAGGGCCATGACGTCTGCATAACGAGAGTCAGCAACCGATTAATTCCGGGGGAGCCAAAGGAATCGTTTCAATTCAGAACGCATTCCAAGGACTTGGATCTTAGAGACGTCGTCGAAGAGATTCATCAAGAGTTCAAAAAATCGAAGAGCCAGGATGTGGAAGTATACCAAGCAGTCGTTGATCCGAAGGATCAGACGCCCGGGTGGGACCATGTTGCGAGCCAGTCCCGGAGACTAGAGACGATGGCCCTTCCTCCGAGAATGACAGAAGAATTGGTCAAAGATCTGGATGACTTCTACAGTCCTAAGACGGCAAAATGGTATAAGGACAGGGGCGTTCCTCACCGACGCGGGTATCTGTTCGCCGGTCCCCCAGGCACCGGGAAAACGTCTCTGTGTATGGCTCTGGCAACGAAATTCAAACTGCCAATCTATCAAGTCAGTTTGGGATCCCCTGATATGACCAACAACCACTTGATTAAGCTATTTAAAAGACTGCCGTCAAAGTGCCTGCTATTATTCGAGGACATTGACGTGTCCGGCGTCATCGACCGTGAGGCATCATCCATCGAAGGAAGGGTGGGCGTTACACTATCCGCACTTCTCAATCTCATCGATGGCGTAGGGGCACGTGAAGACCGCCTTCTCGTCATGACTTCTAATCGTGCCGCCACACTCGACAAAGCTCTTATCAGACCTGGAAGAATCGACAAAACATACAACCTCCAGTTAGCAGACGAGGACTGCGCAAAATCCCTCTTTTGCTCATTAGTGTCGGGTGAGAAAGAAGAGATTGAGACCCTGGCTGAAGAGTTCGCAAAGGCGGTCCCCACAAATGAGTTCTCGCCATCCGCCATACAGAACTATCTCATAGGCAAGAAAGATTGTCCGGAAACAGCAGTCAGAGACGTGGGAGCATGGGTTCAGGAAATGCGGCGCTCGAACCATCCAGACATCACTCATGTCACAAGCCATCGTGGGCTCCATAGACGTATAATGTCACTTGTTTACAGCGTATTCAGCCAGTCTCAAACTTGAACTTTCACTAGAGAAAGGTCAACCATGAATACCTATTAATAGCTTGACTTACCTTTGATCGTCGTATTGCGTATTGCTTGTCTTGTTTCCCTGCTCTCTCTTTTCCTGTCTTGTTTGACTGTTGCTCAGTGTCATTTCGAGACGCTGCTGTGTAATCCGCCCGGCACTTCAACGCAGATCCGGAACGGCTGTCAGGAGGACTGTGTCAACTTGTTTCAAATTAGCCGGATGGAGTATCCGAGTCATTTGCAGTAAGCCAAGGGGAATGTTCAACTCTCGTAGCGGGCACGTAACCTCACACTGCCAACCTCGTAAGTGTCGACTTCGAAGCTTCTTGCTTGTACAGACATGGAATACAACAGTGGTTCGCGAAAGCCATTCCCTTTCAAACGTTACTCTCGACTTCAACCGGCAACCCAGCTAAACCCACATGGGCCTAATGCGGCCAAAACCGGCTTCTTGTGTCGAGATACATGACTGGAGGTCTAGGACACCCCCTTCAGGATGTAGTACCCTCTCTCTGAACGCTACGGAATACATAGACTGCAAGGAAGCGATATGCAAGGAATGGAGACAGGAGATCTTGTTAAAGTCCCGTGTTCTATTCTGCGAATCATTCCCGTCCTGAGAGGTTACTCTTGTCTGAGGATGTGTGGGAGCTATACGGATGCATTTGTAGGTAATCGGGGAATTGGATGACGCTGAGGTTACGGAGACCATGGCTATGATGGACCGGTGCGCTATGTTAGAATAACGCAGAGGCAGATGTAACAATTATCCGTGGCCATTCTTGATTCAGTCATCCATCTTAAGCAAGCATCTATAAGCTATCTCACAAGCATGGCAGCATCCTTCTCACTGCGACCCTGTACGGGTATATCAACCGCGAGATAAAGAAGGGGCTGAAGACCTAAAGAGTCGTAGCGGTCTGATTCATGCTTGGGGTTTCTGCCGTTACGCTACTGTTGTCGGGGCTCCGCCGATGACAAAATGAAGCAGCGTGTTGTGCAAGGCTGAGGTCGTTTCCCACAGCCCACTCTAAGCGCTTGAAGTTATTCAAGTCTTCAATCTGGGCCCTTATTCACGGTGATGGGCCTTGCATACTTTCGTTTGACGGTGGTGATTCTAGAAGGGGGGATAAACCGCTGTGTGTAGATTGTGAACGGCTCACTAACGATGTGGTCTCTGCGTTCCTCGGCTTGGGCTCCTCGGCTTGGGCTCGGAACGGCACCGCGGGTGGCTGCTCTCGGCAAATTGAACCACGACGGGGACATTCAGGGCTAAATACCCATCCGTGTTGTGTGGGAAAGATGAAATGTCTATCGATTTTCGGGCGACTGGTGGGCTGCCGCCTGCAAGGTCGTCTGGTAGATCGCCATTGAAATCCCACACAATCGATCATACACAGAGTTTGGGCAAAGGGCTTGGTGAGGGCGTTCTCCTGGGATTTAAAGCTTCCAATTTGGGGCTTTCGTGCGGAGGAATGTCATAAGGATTGTACCCATCTCTTGCAGCGGAGCACTGCAACTGAGTCTGAACAACCGACGCATTCATAGTTGTCGCAACTAAAGGTGGTGAGATAGGTCACAGATCAGGTGGTATAAGCCGCTGTGGAGTAAATCCTGTCTATGATTGTGTCGACGGCAGGCAACGACGAGGTGACAGTAGTTGTAGTAGTGACGATGTCGGCGACGCACGTAGTGGGGATAAGGCGCGCGGAGGCGGTGAGGTTTGTCGCGATGCGCAACGGCCCATGGATCTTCCTCTAGTTCCTTTTTGCAGGGCCACGGCTCACGGGCTGATTAGAGCGTCGAGGAAGCGTCGAAGCAAGCCGTACCATGTCGTTCGAGTGGTGGTGATGATAGTAAGTGTGTTGCGAACTCGGCTCTGAGTCAGCTACCGCTGCCTTCGTGAGATACGGAAGTAAGCGCTGTCGTTGTTGTGAGCGAGGTGGATATTAAAAGCGAAACGAGGATTTTGATGGGATGCGGCGGCGTGAAAGCAGGTGGGTGGATACACACCGAGAGGTGTTCTGTTGTACACTGACACCCTGAGGTGTGGAAGTACAGCGAGAATTGTCTGCAGAGCCATCTTCTTGGAGGAAAACCTGACCCTTGCAGGCGGATACTGATGCCACAACAAAGTCCGTACAAGAGCATCGATGGACATTCCTGGAAAAGATCAGCCATGTTGAGGCAAATGTCAACCTGCTCCCCCTCCGCTACGGGCGACGGCTTGGCGAATCTGCCGGAATGGTGAAATCAGGCTGACTGGTGATAAACACTTCACTTGTCTCTCTTTTATGCTACTCTCCCAATGTCACACCTCCCTATGAAGACCTTGCCGTTAGTCCTTTTCGTTTCCAGTCCGGTACAAGGTAAAAATGGACACGACCTGTCTAACAGATCGAGATGCAACTTGCAAGAGTTCGTTGTAGGCGGCTGCTGCCTGAGTTCTCCCGTCGGCGCTGTTCTATAACACGAGCGGGGGAGCTTGGGTTGGAAACGAGAAACGAACAGACCGCAACCCGGATCCTCGCTGTCTATTAAAGTACACCCACACAGCCAGCAAGTATCGCTCTTTCTAACCTTTCTCAACCAGCCTGCTGGTCACTACAATCAAAGGCCTCAGCTTCACCGCACTTGTTTTGCATTTCTTTTGTTCAGGCGGTGTTGAGAGCCTGCCAGAGGATGAGCAACACGACCATTCTGCCCCCATCCTAGAGACTACGACTTTTGCGTAAAAATCGGCCATGTTCCCCTCTCGACTTGCCCTGTTTGCTCAAGCCGCGCAATTGCTTCTTTCTGGCACACACCCCATTTCCGTTCCCTCTTTTGTCTCTCTTTAGTAGATTAGAAACCTCCAGCTACGGGGACAACCCCTTCAACACGTCGGCGGCCCGCTCCAGTCCCTCATGAGGATCGACTGCATCGTAATCATGCTCGCCCGCCCAATTTGCCACGAGCGCTGTGCTCACCAAAAGCCTTCGCCACGACTGATGACGCAGGACAAAGGACGAAGCCAAGAGAACCTCATCTGGCTGGTAGACGCCAAAGCCGAAGCGCAGATCACTGAGGTGAGGATGCTCACGCGTGATCCCTTCCGTCAGTCCCATGGAATGGCATAAGGACCCGAAGGCCAGGTCGCAGCGTAGCAAGTCGAGTCCTCTTATCGACGTGGTCATCTCCAAGAGATGGTGGGCAGCAATCGGGTATGCAGCCCGGGGGATCGACTCGTGCTGCACAGCACTGGACTCCGTTGGCGCGCTGTCTGCGGCCATGTCTCGACTTCGATCGTGCCGAGGCCGGGCTTGGTCCGCGCAAGGTGTTTCAGGAGGAGATCTGGTCGCTGCTCTCGACCCTGAGGCCTTAAGCGCAAGCAGCTTCGGGAAGCGCAGTGCTTTGAGCCGGCTGGCCGTGTGTCGCATGCGGCTTGGGAGTAGAGTCCAGATCTGAAGTCGACGAGGGTGGTGATTGCGTCGGCATACAACTGCGCTCTTTGAAGTGACATGTGAGGTGTCGAGATCCAGGACATGCTAGTTCTGTGCTACAAGATGTCGCTACTGCACCGGAACCATAACTTGTTGACTCGTATCGACTGCAGGAACGGTTCCCAATCGAGATTTCCCAGGATCATCATGATTTCGACAGGAAAGAACGGGAGGTGGCCGGGAATTCTGAGGGGCATATTCGTCTCGGGCTCGTTTGTAGGAAAAAGGATCTTGGAATCCGGAGCAAGCGCTGGCGCCTGGAAGAAAATCAGCTGCGGCACGGTGAACAGTTGGAAGGGGATATTTACCTGGTTTGCCGACGGACCGCGCTGTGTGTGAGTTGTCTGGTCACGCGTGTCTCGACTTAGGTGGTCTCTTCTTGGCTTTGCGAGTGGCCGCCGTCGTCGGGGGTGCGCGTCTTCCGGGTTTGTTCAGGAAGCTCTGTCCTAGTCGTTGATTCTGCTCGACTTCAGTCATTTGGAGCTCAAGAGGAGTATTTGATATGTGTTACTGGCGGTGGAGTCAGAGCTGCTGTCGCCAGCGGCAGCTAATAAGCTGATACGAGCGCTACTTGTCAACCAGCAGAAGGGCACGATCAAATCGACAAGGAGAAAAGAAAACAACGAGTGATTCGAGTCGGGGGAGGGGAGGATATCAGACGGACGCAACAAGGGCCGAGGGGGAAGGCGCGACAAAAAAAAAATGACGGAGAAGGTGCGACGAGGCGCACCCTGCTCTCGTTTCTCTAAGGCCGAGATAAAACCACCGCGGCAACCATCTAGCGCTGTATCATCATACTCGTCGTCGGCGTCGTCGTCGCCATCATCTACGTCGCTGCTTCTTCAAGGGCGACAATTCGAAGTTCGTCAGAGTCGGGCGCTTGCGTCACAGCGACTCACGTCAGATCGCAGAAACCCGTGAGGACCTAAGCAAGAGTTGTTATGTAAAGCACACTCACAGCTTGAACATGCTACGGCGGGTATACATATGGTAGTGTTCTGCAAGCTTGGCCTGAGGCGAAGTGCAAGTATGACATCGAAGCAAATGAGCCAAGGCGATCCCATCCAGCCAGTGTTTCCTACATCGCCTCCTACATGGTTCCTTTCTTCCAGGCCCGGCGAACGAACGATCTAGGAAAAGGGTCAGTTGGTTGGTATAAGTGCGTCGACTAGCCACACTGCTTACCTAGACTTCTCCTCCATAGTCAGGACGAACGGGAGGACGAATCGCAAGAAGCAGGTCTTGTTGCGGGAGTCACGAAATTCCACTCTTAAAATGTGCTCTCGTAAAGCCTTGACATGGTTGTCGTACGTCTTCAACTTCGGAATGACTCGGAGCCTTCCTTCGGCGGCCCAGAACACAGCCGATATTCCGCTGAGGGCGAATCTGAGAAGTGGATTTCCATCCCGGTAGGTCGAAGAAAGGTGGGGGACATGCTCGAGAATCGGGTCCTGACCGTCGACGACCACCCAACACTGGTGACGCAGGCTGCTCGCTACGTGCGGCGTGTGGATCTCGCTGAGCTCGAAAACCACCCTGCCAGCCTGATCCGTGAACTGCGGGCCGTCGGAGTCGAACGCGCGTGCCGCCTAGGCCTCGGCGAGTAGAGGGCGGTACCGTGCTGCCACAAATCCGATGTCGTCGCCAGTGGTAGGGGACGGCGAAGGCCCGCAGCCAGGGCGTCTGGACCAGCGGGCCGGCGTCACAAGCGGGCTCTGCTTCTTTGCCAGATCCAAGGGCGTCGCGCCGGAGACGTCCTGCAACTCCGCGTTCGCTCCGCTTCCCAGCAAGAACTCGATGACACCAAGCCCGCCGAAGGTCGCGGCGACATGAAGCGCCGTCTGTTCGCTTGCGTTCGTTGCGTCGACGTCCACGCCCTTGTGTAGCAGCAGCTGGACCAGCTCCAGTACCATGTCGAAGGCTTCGTCTCGTCCTGAGAGGTAAAGCGAATATTCGTCTTCGCTAGTGTTGACCGCCAACCGTCGCGTACCCATGTCGTTGCAGGCTCTCAGCGCGATATGGATCAGCGTCTCTGTAGGCCGAGTCGGCACGCGGTCGTTGCAGTTCGCGCCCAGGGACAGCAGCCGGTGGGCCAGCTTGAACTGTCCGGCAGCGCACGCCGTCGCCAAAGGCGTCATGCCTTGGCCCGTCATTGCGTTGATGTCGATGTCGCCATGTGTCACTAGCCAGTCGGCAAAGTCGCAGGCTTCGTCTCCGGGCGCCCAGCGGCGGCTCAGATCGTGGAGAGCCGACAGATTGCGGATGTTGGGTCCGTTGTAGTCAATCCAGCCGAGCACGTCCTCTGGGCCATCGGGACCGTCCACTACCAGAGAGGAACCGTGGCGTACGATGGCCTTAGCAGTGTCCCAGTTGTGATAGCATATGGCCAAGTGGAGCGGTGTCTTCCTGGCGGCTCTAGGCGTGACGTTGTGAATCGCGTCGGTTTCCGCCTCGGCTTCACAGCGCCAGCAGCAAACCGCGACGGCGTTGACATCGGCGCCGGCGATGACGAGCGTCTCGACCAGGTGGGTATGACCCAGCACAGCAGCGACTTGCAGCGTTGTGTAGCCCTTGACCTTGTGCGTGAAGGCGAGCCACTTTGCCGGGCAAGATTCCTTCCAGGGGCTCCTCCACTTCTTTGGCCATCGTGCGTCGACAGCGACGCCATGGCGGATGGCTTTCTGGAGAGCGGCGGCATCCCCTCGCGCCGTCGTCCACAGTACAGAAAGGCCGTTCAGAGCATCTCGTCGGTAGAGCGTGCCGTTGAGCTGGCCCCAAAGCTTACGAGAGCACTGGATGAGGTTGTTGAGCGCGGCGTTTCGCAGAGACGGCTTGAGCTGCCCGATGATGTCGCACTACAACTCCAAAGGCAGCTGCGCCATGGCCGTTTTCGCTGCGATCGGCGTGGGTTGGCAGGTTGGCAAGTTGTCTGGCGGCACTCGAAAAGGTGGAAGGAGCAATTTGGTGAACCTCGGGCTGGTAATCGAGAAGCTTCTTTGAAGAGAATATGGTAGTTGGCCGTAAGTAGAGCGCAGGAAAGGAGGAAAGAGGGTGGGCGCGAAAGAGGGTAGATTTCAACGGATGGCGACTATGATGGTTGTAGACCAAACCGAAGCGCGCTGCTCGTGTTATCTCAATCTGCAGACAGTCAGACTATGGTTCGATTTCGCCGATGTTACTTACCCAAGCGAAGCAAAGAGCCGAACAAAATCCTGTCCCAAGGTATAGCGGAGGGCGGTCCGCTGTTTGCTCTGGCGAAAGAGCTGTGAGGAGGATCGCGACGACGGCTGCGGTGACGATGGTGATGGAGGATAAGCGCCAAGCAGTCAGATTATTGACAGAGAGATAGTTGCTTGCCAGCCGAACTGGCTGGGTAGTTGATTGGGTCAAAGGAAGGTAGGGACGTCCGTCAAAATGGAAGGAGCCACCACCGCCACCTTCCTTCTGGGGTTGGTTTATCGGCGAATGATCACGTCAGCATTTCAGCTTGTTCACGCACGTACCAAAGTCGAGAGTGAAATAAGAAAACCGATTCAACCGACAACCTCTACTCTGTATTTCCCATTGCTTTCGGTATTTTGGCGTCCCTACGCTGGAGTCAGGCCAGCGCACATCCGACACGAAGCCTTTCAGCCGACCGCTTGCATCCCGCCTACACTGCTACCGCCACCGCCGCGCACCGTTCCTCTCTCGGCCCTGGTCTGGGGTTGACGAACACACAGCCGGGCGAGGGCTGGAAGAAGCGGACCTGTTCTTGCGTCAGACAGCCCGCTCCGGACTTGGCTGCCGCCGGGCTGGCCACCGACCCCATGCTGCGCCGGCCTGCAAGTCTTGTTTGCGGTCGCCATGCGCACTATCGCCATCAGCCGAAGCGTCGAATGTCGCCGCCTTCTTCATGCGATTCTGCCTTGTGTGCCAAAGCTGCCGCGACACACTTTAGAAAAAGCAAAGTTGGTTCATGCTGCTCATTCTTTGCGCACTCTCCCAAAGCGTCGTGAGGACCGAATCCTCGCGTGGCGCCTCGTCATTTGGAGCGACCTCCGCGCCCTCCGTCCCCTCCACTTCTACCATTAGCCAGTCGGGTATTAATACTGGCTCGCTCCCTGTCATTGACTCAAGCCTAAGCTCGGGCCAGTCAAAGTCGCCGGCGGCCCCCACGTTACACGTCCCGTTCGGGGCGGGATCGTCCCTGACAGAAGGCCCCCTGTCGAGGCCGCGGCCGGCGAATTTGTCCCCTTCGTCCATCGTTTCGTCCGTACCTTCGTCCTTCGTCACTGTCCCTGTTACAGCAGTTAAGACGATTGCTTCTGAGTAACCGGCAGCGTCGCCATTGTCGTTATTGTCGCCGTTGACAACGTCCGGGCTATGGGCGGCGTCTTCTGTGCTTTCTCGCAGATTTCTCGTGTCCGCGTCGTGCTAGCCGTCATCCACGGCGGGTTGGTGGTCCGCGTCGGCGCCTTGCCCTACGTCCTCCGCGTCTTCTGCGTCCCTCTCAATCAACCGCATGAGTCGACGGCGCCTGATCCTCCCTGTCGCTTGTCTCGACCATAAACTCTTCCAAAATCGGTGTGCTCTCTCTCCGCCGATAGCGGGCGGTAGACCGGGTAGGCCGGCTACGGCGTCGACGGTCGATGGGCTGCAGGCCGTTATATAAATCTAGTAGCTGACCCACATCTTAGTCTATGCCACACCTCTTACGATACGACAGCTTCCCCCCTCTCTTCCCCAAACGTAATGGGCTTACAACCTGGTTGAAGTCCGGGATGCTCTGACCCTTGAGGACGTGAATA